TCCTACCGAACACCGTGTGTTTGCAAGCATTTCAACATAAAAACATCAAAAACCCAATGCTTTTCACAAAAATTCTACAAATTTCCTGCCCGGGCTCTCTTGCTGAAATCATAGGAAAACCATAGGAATCTTAAGAATTCGGTCAAATCCAGCGATTTCACGTCATCGCGCGGTGCACTCGCGATGCTCTGTCATGCACCCAGGCCGCGAATCCTGTGCAAAAAATACCACGCGGGCGACATGCGCGCGCGTCGCCGCGAGCGCATGCTCAAATCCTTCTAGAGTCGTCGCCGTCATTGGCACCGTCGCATGGACGTCCTGTCGTCCACGTCGCAAAATGCATGGCAGGAATGGGACGCGGCGCACACCCCGCGCCCGCCCATCCAATCCGTCCCATTCTAATCTGCAAAAGACAATACACAGTTTTTGTTTTTCTTGTCAACATGGTCGTGCTGTCGTCACGTCGCAAAATGCGTGGCAGGAATGGGACGCGGCGCACACCCCGCGCGAAGGGGTGACATGTCGCTCTCGCCTCGGCGCCGCGCACCAACGTTTTTCCTTTCAGCATGGACGTCCTGTCGTCCACGTCGCAAAATGCTTGGCAGGAACGGGATGCGGCGCACACCCCGCGCCCGCCCATCCCGGCAACCGCCATCGCGGCCGCATCAGCTGTACCAAACCGGCTGGCCAGCGCGACTTCGGCCCCCAGTTGTGCCAGTTTTGCTTCTTATGTTGTGGGAGGGCGGGTGGGACTGGGCATGCCATGCTTGACTCGCTCGAGCTGGCTAGCTTGACTCCTACTCCCACTCCTACTCCTACTCCTACTCCCTCCTCCTCTTTCTCCTCCTCCTCCTCCTCCTTCTCTTCCGCTTCCTGCTTCCTCGTCCGAGTTAAATGCTGCAAGTTCGCAGCGGACGGCGAATCGTCGCACAGCAGCAGTTGTTTGCACCAGTTCCGCAGCAACGCCCAACACCACGGATAGGAATGGAGCCGTTGCCTTCTTAGCAGCAGCGCGCTGTGAATGGGATATGACCGCCCCCCCTTACATTCCTTCTCCCCTCTCCTCCCTCCCACCGCCCCTGCTGCTCAGCCCCAGGCGTGGGCGAGTCCTGTTGGGGCAAGGTGGTCGGGACAGGAGTGGAACAGGGGCGAGGGCAGCACGGGAAGAACATGAATGGTAGAATGAGCGAGTAGCTCTCGCACATGGATTCGGACAGCGTTCAGTCCTCCTTGCCCGAAACTTCCAAAGCTGTGAAATTCCGCCCCCTCTCCTTAGCCTCTTCGCCTCCCCTCAGGCATCTTTTTTTCTCCATGACGCCTGTGGTGAAGCAAATTGCTGCAGCACTGGATAGCAAAGGCGATCTTGTTCTCAAGAGCAAGTGAAGTCATCCCTTCGGCAGAACGCAGTGCAATCGTCCTCATCCTGTTCCTTCTCTTCCTCCTCCTCCTCCTCCTCCTCCTCCTCCTCCTCCTCCTCCTCCTCCTCTTCCTCCTCCTCCTCCTCTACCTCTTCCTTCCCTCCTCCTCCCTCTCTCCATCCTCTTCCTGCTGCCCCTCCTCCTGCTCACTGTACCACTTGTTGACGGTCGATCGCCACAGCGAGAGAGCCCGCAATCCGGAGCCGTCTAGGTTTCATCTTCTGCGCTCAGACCGTGCCGGGCGATGGACACCGGGGTTGCGGGACGCTGCCGCGCGCGATCTCTCCCAGGCCGTCCCCTCCGCCGCCGTGGTCAGGGCCTCGGGCTCCGCGTGCCCGGGTCCGCCGGCGCCCTGCAGTGCCCCTCGCGGACGCGCGCTTGCCCAGGCGGGGAGCGCGCGCGCCTCGCCCCAGCGGCTCTGGGGCGCCCCGGGTGCCAGCCGCGCGGTGCTGCGGGGCTTCGTCCTCGGGGCGGCGGCGTGCGCGCGGCCCGGCGCGCCCTGGCTCGGCAGGGCGGAGGGGCCCGTGGCGGCCTCGGCGCAGCCAGGCACCGTCGACCTGGGCCAGCTCGCCATCCAGAAGGTCAGGGCCTTCTGCGAGGTATCGGCCGGTGCGACGGCCTGATGGCGGCGGCGGCAGTGGCTGGAGCTGTGCACCCGACGAGGTACAGCGTGCCAGGCATCGCCGTGTACCGCGAGAGGCTGGACCGATCTTCGGCTGCTGGCGCGTGTTCGCCCCCGACTTGGACGACCATGACGAGACGACGGCCCCTGGCGCCGACGTGATAGGTTTCCACTTCATCGACGGTCAGGGCGGGGGAGTCGGAGGCGTCGACGAGAACCAGGTTCACTGGTCCCGACGCGACCCGAACTCTGCGGAGGTAGCGGGCCGCCCTGCGTCGAGGCGTTGCCGCGGGCTTTGGTCTCCTCCCGGCGCCCCCGTTCAGCATATCACGCTCTCAGCGCTGAACCGCGCTATAGGCTGGCGGCGGCACCGCTCGCCATCGCCGACCCCGCCGCCGCGGCGCCCGCAGCCGCTCGCGGGCCCGCCGGCGGGGCCCTCGTGCCCGCCCGGGCGGGCCCGCCGGGCGCAGCGGGGCCGGCCGGGGCACCGGCCGCGGCGGGTTGTTGCCGCCGTGCCCGGCAGGGCCCCCGGAGGAGGCGCAGCTCTGCGCGGCTGCGCGCGGGCGCGCCGCCGTGCCTGGCGCGGCGCTCGCTTCGCGCGCGTGCCCAGCGGCGGGGCGGCTCCCGGGCGGCAGCGGGTCGCTCCGGGGATGTCGACGGCAGCGGTTGTCTCCGAAGGCTAGTGGGCGCTGCTCGTGGGGCCACACTCACCTCCCGAGCGGTGGTGGGGCTTCTGGAGTGCTGCTGCTGCTGCTGCTGCTGCTGCTGCTGCTGCTGCTGCTGCTGCTGCTGCTGCTGCTGAGGCTTCTGGAGTACTGATGCTGCTGCTGCTGCTGCTGCTGCTGCAATCATAAGGGTTGCTGCTGCTGCGTGGACTTCGGCGTGGCCTTCGGCGTGGAGATGTACGACGCCATTTCCAATCTGTCAGAGTAGGAAAGGGTGCCCATACCTCTACCCCCGGCACCTTTTTCCCCTTCTGGGGCCTCCTGGGAGGCCGTCGTCGCCACCGCCGGATTCGCGTCGAAGTCCTGCTCAGAACGCACCCCGGGAGAGGTCCGGGGAGAAGCGCTATCGGTACCCTTTGGTTCCCCCTCATATGATCAAGGCCGTGGGCGGCTTGGACCCCTGGGACGCCAACGAGCTCACGGGCGCGGGAGGTGGGCAGCGGAAGCTCCAGCTCCTCGAGCACAGCTGTCCTTTAGGGCTTGTCGACTTTTCGCCAATCGACTTGTGAGAATCGAGCCAGATAAACCCAGGTAAATGCAGATAAATCGAGGTAAATCCAGGTAAATCTAGATAAATCTGGGTAAATCCAGGTAAATCCAGAGATCTCCAGGGAAAGTTCGAGCACTTCGCGGCCGCTCCAGCGCGAGTCGAAGGACGGCAGAAGTCGTTAAGCCTTTAACGAAGCTGGGGCGGCAGGAGCGCGGAGGGGCGGCAGCACCGCACGCGCGCGTGCCTCGAGAAGAGACCCGCACCCTGCGCGGGCGGAGAGCGCGGTCGGCTTCGACGGCGCTCCCCGAGCTGCTCGACATGGCGCGCGCGGTCGGCTTCGACGGCGCGCCCCAAGCTGCTCGACACCCAGACCCCCTCGAGTAATGAAAAAATCATGACGGCAGGTTTTTCGCTATTTTCGGCCCCTGGGGGCCCCCACCTGGCCTCGGGAGCGTCAAAAAACGACTCAGGATGCAAAGCCGGTCATGGGGAAAAGGTCGGGACCTTTGGGGGTCGACGTAATGAAAAAATCATTACGTCGGGGGTCTGGGCACGGCGCAACATGAGTTGCAGCGGATCTCCAGCATCCAGAAGCACGCCAGGAAGTTCAGGTCAGGGAGGGGCAGGTTGCTGCCAGGAAGAACGGCAGCCGAGCTCCCCCCCCGCCAAGTCGCGGCGCTGGAGCAGCGCCCAGGGCTGCCTCGATCTGGGGGCGATGCTCGCGAGGGGCTGGACGAGGGCTCCTCTTTCTTCTCTTCCTCCTCCTCCTCCTCCTCCTCCTCCTCCTCCTCCTCCCCCTTCCCCTCCTCCTCCTCCTCCTCCTCCTCCTCCTCCTCCTCCTCATCTTCCTCCTCCTCCTCCTCCTCCTCATCATCATCATCATCCTACTCCTCTTTGTCTCAGCATCAAACGAGGCTTCAAAAACTGGCTGGTCTTCGAGGCCCCAAAGGGTTGGCATCTCTTCCTCGGCGGAATGTCGGCGGAAGGCGGTGGAAGTAAAACGGGGGCGGCTCCGGTGGCGGAAGCCAGCGGAAGCAAAAGTCGACTTCCCAAGCAATGACAACGTTTTTGCATTCAGGTTTTCCAGAACTCGCCAGATGTATGCAGCGGTTTCGGGGAGTCGTTGGCCGCAAGATGCCTGAGCCTGATCACCTTCGCTGAAGCTTGGTCGGGCACGCACGTGCCCCGGCAATAAATACCCCCTGGCCTCGGCAGCGGCGGCGGCAGGCATCCTCCTCCTCGTCCTCCTCCTCCCACCTTCTCCGCGTCCTCCTCCGTCCTGCCCTCCTCCGCCTTTTCCCCCACCCCCTTCCGCCTCACGTTTCTTCCTCCCGTTTCCTCCTCCTCCTCCTCCTCCTCCTCCTCCTCCTCCTCCTCCTCCTCCTCCTCCTCCTCCTCCTCCTCCTCCTCCTCCTCCCCTCTTCCTCCTCCGCTTCCTCCTCTTCCTCACGTGCCATCCGTGCCCTCACGCATCCTCCTCCCCCCTCCAGCCCCGACGCGGACGACGACGCCGACCGCGCCGACGACACCGGCACTGACGGCGACGACGCCGACGATGCCCACGCCAGCGGCGACAGCGGCGACGACGCCGACCATGCCGACGGCGGCGGCAGCGACAGAGGCGACGACCGGGGACCACTGGCGGCGACAGCGGCGACGCCCGGCGACGCCCGGGGGCGCTCGAGGCCGGCGGCAACGGCGGCGACGACCGAGGCCGGCGGCAACGGTTGATCGCGGGCGGCCAGCGGCGCCGATCGTTCCGCGCGCGCGGGGCCCGCAGGCGCCGCCCCGCCGGCCGCCGCTGGGGGGCGCGGCAGGAGCTCGGGGGCAGCGGCAGGGGAGGATTCAGGAGGGGAAAAAACACACAGACACAATTAATCGGCGATCCCCCAGAAAATATGGGAAAATATGGGAAGTGGGGGGGAAGACAAAAACCCAGAAAATATAGGAAAATATGGGGAATCTTTTTATTTGTGTGTATTTATTTGTGTGTCCCAGGGCCCCTTCAAAATGGTGGGACAGCCTCGTGTGCCTTCGCAATTCTGTCTTTAGCGTCGATGAGCGTCGACTAGCGTCTGGGAGTCGATGGGATAGCGCCGGTTAAGCGTCGTCTCTGGCGCCGATCTAGCGTCGACGAGCGTCGACTTAGCGCCGATCAGCGTCGATTCGCATGAGCGAACAAGACGGCACGGGAAGCTCCCACGCGTTGCCACCGAGGTTTCCGGGCGTCGTCGTTAGTTCTCTGCGGTCTCCCCGCCTCGGGGTGGCCTCCAGCCGCTGCGCCTCGCCGAGGGGCGTTTTGCGGGTGCCCGGACCGCCCCGGAGGGACCGCCGCAGAGCCATGGCCTGAAAAGCACCGGGCACGGGGATAGGCCTTAGTGGGCCCTGGAAACGACAGAGCCGTTTTTTACCAGTTCCATTTTGCCGTTTTTTGTTGCCGGTTCCGACGCCGTTTTTGTTGCCGGTTCCGTCGCCGTTTTTGGTCCGGTTCCGGCTCCGGTTCCAAGCCTGGAGCCGTTTCGGTTCGCCGTTGTTTTGCCGCTTTTATTTTCAAGAGACATTTCTTTAGAAACGGTGAAAAAACGGCCCTGCAGCCGTTTCCGGGGCCCACAAAGGGATAGGCTCCGGGGGGGGGCGCCTCTCAGGAAGACAGTCATCGGGCTTGGAGGGGATGGGGTGGGGGGAGGCGAGGACGTCCTTACCCGCAATTAGGGGGCCGGAGGTATTATCGTGCAGCTCATCCTCCCAACACCTTCCTCCCGACACGATGACTGTTCTCCTCAGCGTCGACCCCCCAATCGCCTATTGATGTCTTAGCGGGCGAAGGGCGGTCTCACAGGTTTTTCCGTCGCCAGGGGCGTCTGCCACTGCGCCGCTGAAAAGTCTATACCCTTCTGTTACGTTGCCACCGTAAGGGTGTGAACTTTCCAGCCGCCCTGGGACAAGCGCCACCGACAGCGAACCAGTTTATCTTCTACCGCTCTTCGCCCGTTCAGTATCGCAGGCAGGGGCCTTCCTCCCAACACGATGACTGTTCTCCTCAGCATCGACCCCCAGTCGCCCATTGTCGGAGGTTGATCGACCTCCTACCCTGACACGTCGATTAGCGAATTGGCCGTTTTCGGTTCGCGAGAGCGCGTCCTTTTTTGCGGGTCCAGGTCCGTCGGTTTCGGTCCCAGGCCGTTTTCGCGAAAGGGTGGTTTACTAAAGGGAGGTTTGTCCGCCGCCGAAGACAGGGCCGTCCTCCCAACACGATGACTGTTCTCCTCAGCGTCGACCCCCAAATCGCCCATTGGCATCGCAGGCAGGGCCTGCCTCCCAACACGATGACTGCTCTCCTCAGCGTCGACCCCCAAACCGCCCATTAACATCGCAGGCATGGGCCCACAGCCCCTCCTCCTCCTCCTCCTCCTCCTCCTCCTCCTCCTCCTCCTCCTCCTCCTCCTCCTTTCAAGACCCTTTCAACATAGGCTCTGCAGCGCCGCCGCCGCGGCGCCGAAGCCTCAGGGCGCCAGCTGGTGGGCGCCGTACTCGATCTTCTTCATCTTTGCGAAGAGCGCCCCTCCCTTCGGCTCGCGAGCTCAGGGGCGCTCAACCTTCTCTGATCTTCTTGTCCTGTCGTTGTGGGCCTCTTCCGACCAGGCTGGTCGGTGTCCCTGCCTCGCCTGTCAGGCGAGGTGGCGGTCCCTCTGTGGGGGCCTGCCATGGAGCAGGGTGCTCCATCTCGTCTGCTGTCGCTGTCTGACGACCCGCCCTTCGGCCGCTCTTGGGCTGCGGGCCGCCCGACCTCATCTTCTGTACTTTTCCTTGTGCTGGTTGCCACTTCGTATCCGCTGTGATGTCTTCGTGGCAGCCCGCCCTTCGGCCTCCTGGCTACGGGCTGCCCTTTATCGCGGTGTGCTCGTTGTCGCCGCCGTTCTTGTCCTTCTGGCAGCCCGCCCTTCGGCCTGCTGCCGGGCTGCCGATCGTCACGCGGTGTTCGTTGTCGCTGTCGTGGGTCTCCGTAGGTGGTCGCAGAGCCAGGCGATGCGCCATGTCATTCTTGTCATGTTGGCAGCCCGCCCTTCGGCCTCCTGGCTGCGGGCTGCCGCTCGTCACGGTGTGCTCGTTGTCGTTGTTGTTAGTCTCCGTGAGTGGTTTCCGAGCCGAGCGATGCGCCATGTCATATTTGTCTTGCTGGCAGCCCGCCCTTCGGCCTCCTGGCTGCGGACTGCCGTGCAGATGAATGTGCTCGTTGTCGCCGTTTTTCGTCTCCATGGGTGCCGTTTGACAGGGCATGGGGTCGTTCAGTCCTCGGGCGTTGTACTCTTGAGCATTTGCTCTTTCAGTCCGTGCTGGATGTTGATCGGTCGCTGGACCCCCATGTTCACGTGGCGACAGATTGCCTAGTAGCCGCAATGGCACACTAGGACTGTGCGCTCTAACGCCTATCAGCACACGTGGCGACGTAGTGCCTAGTAGCCCTGTTGGCACACTAGGACGTTGCGCTCTAACACCTGATTTCGGACCATGCTCCGTGATGTCTGCGATTTCTTCCGTCCTACGGTCGACTCCATTGCGTGGCGTCTTGGTTTCTTGCGAGGGTTTCTTGCGGCCGCGCCCGCACTGCATTTTCGGAGTCCCAGATTCCGATCTATCTTCAGCGCCTTCCTGCTTAGCGACTTCCTCTCCCCTTGGGCGGGCGGACACCCACATCTGCTTCCAGCACGCCCTCCTGCCTCGTGCATCTCTGCCTGCTCCTTCCGACCGACGGGCACCGCTGCCCCCCCCAGGAGCCCCAGCAGCAGCTACAGCCGCAGCAGGAGCCGCGACCGCCGCCGCGGGGGCGGCCGCCGGCGGAGGCCGCCGCCAGCCCGCGAGAGCCGCGCTCGGAGCGTCGTCGGGTCGGGTCGGGTCGGTCGGTCGGGCGGGCGTCCCGTCAGGCAAGCAGCGGCGAGGCGTCCCGGCCGGACTGGCAGGCCCACCACAGATCGGGGGCAGCAAACGGGGGGGTGATGACTAGGGGGGGGGGGGGGATATCATGGCGTGGGCCATGATATCTCCCCAGATGTCGTGGCGCCTCTTTTTCTTTCCTTACGTCCCTGCCCCACCCCCTGGGCCCCGCACATGCCGCCGGCCATGATTTGCACCCCCCCTCTTCTGGCCGCCCCCGAAAATAATGTTCTCAGAAGAACCTTTTGTGGTCTGCACGAGATGTTCTTGGAACATTCCTGGCTGAGACTGTCTTGTTTTGACACATCGGGCTTGTGTTCTGAGAACATGATGTTTGTTATTAGAGCATTTGTGGGTTCTAAATCCGTGGTAGGCTCTTGGAATGCCGGGACGATCGGTCGTTGCTCACGTCAACATCTTCGTGGTCTTCGTCGTGGTCGTGGGTAATTCGTCGTCGTCGTCGCTGTCGGTCGCCGTCGTTCTTGCAAGCAGCCAAAGCTGTGAATGTTGTTCCGTTTGCAGAGGCCGTCTTGTTATACCATAGTCCCTGAGCCGCGACGATGTGTACTGGAGTGGACGTGCGTTCCTCACGCGGTTTTAGTTTGTTTAAGACTCGAGGGGGGGCGAGGAGGGAGGTGGCGGATGGAGGAGGAGGTGGAGGAGGAGGAGGAGAAGGAGGAGGAGGAGGAGGAGGAGGAGAAGGAGAAGGAGGAGGAAGACGAAGAGGAGGAGGAGCAGGAGCAGGAGGAGGAGGAGGAGGAGGAGGAGGAGGGGGGGCAGGAGGAGGAGGAGGAGGAGGAGGAGGAGGAGAAGGTGGAGGAGGAGGAGGAGGAGGAGGAGGAGGGAGGTGGGGATGGAGGAGGAGGAGAAGGAGGGAGGTGGCTGATGGAGGAGGAGGAGGAGGAGGAAGAAGAAGACGAAGAGGAGGAGGAGGAGGAGCAGGAGGAGGAGGAGGAGGAGGAGGAGAGAGGTAAGTAGAGGAAAGGGGGGCAGAGGTGGCGGAGGGAGGAGGCGGCCAAGAAGCTCGTACAACGCAGAAGGCGAGAGCCTGCTCTCTCGGGCATGCCCCCCAGAGGGAAGCGGAGGAGCGCGAGAGGGCTCCACGGCGATGCCCAGCGCTCCGTTGGGGAGACCGCCTTCCAACCGTGGGGAGGTGGAGGAGGAGGAGGAGGAGGTGGAGGAGGTGGGGGAAGGGGAGGAGGAGAATCGGTGGCGAGCGAGGGGCGGAAGTGAGGTGTGAAGGAGAAGGCCTTCTCAGAAGGTTCAGAAGTTCCTTGGCCTTCTGAGACGGTTCCTGAGCCTTTCCCGAAGACCAAACAAGAGCTCCTCAGAGGCCGCGAGGGCCTGTGAGGAGTCCCACCGCCTTCTGAGAAGGCTTTCTCCTGCTCACTTCCCCCCATCGCTCGCCGCCGAGGGAAGGAGAAGGCCGAGGAGGACGACCCAGACCCCCTCGCGTCGCGACAAAACTCCCGACGGAACGTGCGGCTATGTCTTCGGCCTCCAGGGGCCTTTCCATCAAGCAAAAACCCAGGACGAGAAGCCGCTCACCTGGGAGGGGGTCAAGCCCTCTGAGGGTCTGCGTCCGGGAGGGTCAGGTGGATGGGGTGGCCGGTGGGAGGAGGAGGAGGAGGAGGAGTGAGGAGGAGGAGGAGGAGGAGGAGGAGGAAGAGGAGCTCCGCGCGGATTTCTTGGATCGGCGACAGGACCTCCTGGCCGAACCTCCAGCGCCGCCCATGGCGCGCTCCGCGCGGACCACCAACATGTTACGGTTATGCTGTTTTTGTTCCTCTACGTCTGATGGAGGAGGAGGAGGAGGAGGAGGAGGAGGAAGAGTGTTTCGAGGACGAAACACTTTCTGATAATTTGTCGGAGCTGCGCGCGGAATTCTTGGATCGACGCCAGGCCCTCCTGGCCGCGCCTCCAGCGCCGTCCCTGGCGCGCCCCGCGCGGACCACCAACATGTTGCGGTTCTGCTGTTCTTGTTCCTCTACATTTGAAGGAAGAGGAGGAGTAGGAGGAGAAGGAGGAGGAGGAGGAGGAGGTGGCGGAGGCGGAGGAGGAGGAGGGGGAGGAGGAGGAGGAGGAGGAGTGGGAGGAGGAGGAGGAGGAGGAAGAGGAGGAGGACAAGGAGGAGGAGGGAAAGATGGAGGAGGAAGAGGAGGAGGAGGAGGAGGAGGCGGGGAGAGGAGGAGGAAAGGAGGCAGGCGGGTAAGTAGAAGTGAAGGGTGCAGGGGGAGGGAGGAGGGAGGATGCTGCGGAGGAAGACGAGGAGGAAGAGGAGCAGGAGGAAGAGGAGGAGAAGAAGGTGGCGGAGGGGAGGTGCTTGGCGGAGGTGGGAGGGAGGGGTCTGCCTGGAGCCACTGGTCCTCCCCGCGGCCAGGTGAAGTCCTCCCTTGGGAGCGCCGGCGCGGCCCCGTCCCCTGGCAGGCGCCAGCGGCCGCGGGCGGGGGCGGCCGCGGACATCCCCCCGCCTCAGCGCTCGGGGGCCGCGATGGCGCGGGGTGGGATTATCCTCCTCCTACTCCTTCTTGTCCTCCCTCGTCCTCCTCCTCCTCATCATCCTCCTTCTGCTTCCACATGTGTTCTCCTCCTCCTCCTTTTCTTCCTGCTGCTGCTGCTGGTCCTCCCCTTGTTCCTCTACACTCTACATCTCAACCTCCTGCTGCTACTCCTCTTTACTCCTCCCTCCACCTCCATCCTCCCCTGAGATCCTGGCGTCGCAAATTTGCTCACACCCGGCGTTTTCGGCCAGTTTCGGGCACCGGGGCTCTCACATATCGATTTGGCCAAGAAAAGTGCCGCAGGAAGCTGGGGTCTGGGGCTCTGGTCATGAGTTTTGGCGATGTTGTAATGGTTTTGCAGCGTCTGATTTCAAGATCATCCGCACCCTCATGCTCCTTCTCCCTCCGCCTCATCCTTCTCCTCCTCGTCCTCTGCCTCCCCGTCGTCGTTGTCGTCGTCATCCTCACCATTATCAGCAACAACAACATCACCATCATCAGCAGCAGCATCATCATTATCATCGTCACCATCATCATCATCATCATCATCATCATCATCATCATCATCATCATCATCACCATCATCGTCATCGTCATTGTCATCGTCATGATCACCATCGTAAGCATAAGCATCCTTCTCATCATCAGCATCACCATTGTGATCAGGATCAGTAGCAGCATTATCATGTTCATAGATCCGTTGTCCCAACCCCACTGTCGCAGCCAGCCATCCGTGGCCGTGTGGGCTCCGCTCCTCTTTGTGGCGAAAGGCAATGGTTAGTGGCCGTTCATGTCCTTTGGTTCGCTTGCATCTGTGGCAGTAACCTCGCTGGGGGGAGCGACCTGGCGACTCGGCTCTGCCACTGTGGGCTCCCCGATCACCGCTGACTCCGTGAGGCCGGGCCTCCGTGTGCGCAGAGCGGCGGCGGACCTCGTCGGGCGCGTGCGCGGCGCTCTGGTCCTCGTGCTCTGGATCGGCGTCTCCGTGAGATTCCTCCTCCTCCTCCTCCTCCTCCTCCTCCTCCTCCTCCTCCTCCTCCTCCTCCCCCTCTCCTCTTCCTCCTCCTCCATCAGCCCCGCGGTCGCCACTCACGTGGACGGCGCGGCCGTGGTTGGCGCGGATCGGCAGCAGGTGCGAGACGGCATCGCAGCAGTCGAGCGCGAGCTGGAGGCTAGCGGGCTGCGCTGCAAGGGCATCACCGCCACCGCGGACGAGCAGACCTTCACGGACTTGGTCTTCAAGCGAGCTACGGGCGAGGTCCGCTTGTCGTCAGGTCGCCCATGGAAGATGTGCCTCGCCTTGCTGGAGTTTGCGTATCAGAAATATGTCTCTGGGCGCGCAGTGTTCCAGCTCGTCGGCCGCTACAACTGGGCCGCGCTCCTGAGGAGGCCCCTCCTCTCCGTCTTCAGTGTTGCGTATCGGTACGCACGCAAGGCGGGGGGCAACGCGTGGCGGCCGTGGACCGACGTGGCCTCCGAGCTTTGGGCCGCGGGCGCGCTGCTGGGGTTGGCCTACCTCAGCGCGAGACGCCCCACCGACCCCCTCACGACGAGCACGGACGCCTCGACGAGGGACCGCGACCCTGATGGCGCGCTTTTCGGCGGCTTCGGCGTCACCGAGCGCTCCCGCCCACCGAGGCTGACTTGACCGTGGCCGTTCGTTGGCTCCCGAGCGACTGGAACAGCAGCGACGAGGGTTCTCGCATTGTGGTCCCGCCCGTCGGGCGTTTCGAGCTGGACCCCCGCCACGTTGGCAAGGCCAGGGCTGCCTTCGAGAGGGCGATGTTTGAGGAGGTCGAGCGCCTCGACTGCCACGAGTTCGACATCGATGACAAGCGCAAGCGCACCGAGCTTGACATCCAGCACTACCTGGAGGAGGGGGGCGCCGACGCCTGGGGCCGCATCGCCCACGACGGGTCGGACGACGGCTTTGACGTCGAGAGCTTCCGCACTCCATGGGGCAGCAGAGGCACGGCCAGCACGAGTGCTCCGTCGTCTTCATGCCGCGCGGCAGGTCGAAGCCACGGCTCAAGCTCCTCGCCATCTACGCACGGCGGGGAAGCCCCGCCAAGCTCTGCAGAAGGCCGAGAGGGCGAAGCGGCGAGCGCCCGACGCAGACGGCAAGGCCGAGGCAGCAGAGTCTGGGTTGACGCTCTTGCAACATACACGCCCAGGAGGAGCAGCACGAAGACGTGACCAGAAGCCGCGGGCCAACGTCGAGTCCCTGAAGCTGGTCACCTTGGACCGCCTCGGCCCGCTGCCCGCCGACTACCTGGGCCACCTGTACTGGGAAGGGGGAGCTCGGGGAGACGGGCTCTCGGCTGCTGGCGGCGATGCAGCACTACAGGCCAGACTTGCCGAAGGCCAAGTTCGGGGGGCTGGCCCAGACGCGAGCTGCCCCGCGCGGATTTCGCCGCAGAGCGTTTGTGGGCTCACTCGACCCCATCCAGAAGCCCGCGGCCTTCGCCACGATCGGTGCCAGCATCCCGGAGTGGGACCTGGAGGCCGCGGCCGCCCTGGCGATCTCGCGGGGCGCGATGCTCCAATTGCCGAGCGACGTGCTGGCGACGGCCTCCGAGACTCTGGTGGGCCCAGGGCGTGGGGCGCGCCCCCAGTGGGCATTGTTGTTGTACCCGAGAGAGGTGGAGTCCCGAAGCAAGACTCGAGGCTGCGACGAGGGCGCGGTCTTTCGGAGCGCGCTCTGGCGGCAGGGGGGCCCCCCCTTCCTCGCCAAGCTCCGCGCCACGCGGCGCCCGTTGGAGCCGCCCTGGAGCTTCGCACCCCAGGCGTTCAAGGTCAAGTTCGAGCAGTACCTCAAGCTGGCCGGCTACGACGAGACCGTCATCCCGCACCAGGTGAGGCACTGAGCTGCATTGCGCGCGGTTGCCATAGACCGCGCCCCGCTGGCAGGGGCGCAGTCCATCCTCAGGCATTCGGGGCAGCAGTCCGTCGCCAGGTACGCCAGGGAGGTCATGTACCTGTCCCTGCTGAACAAGGCGCCCGAGTGGATGGCCTGCTTCGCCGAGGAGGTCGACGGTCGAAGCCAAGCTGGGCCAGCTCTTGCCGAAGATGACCGCGTTGAAGACCCCGAGAGAGCTCCGAGCGAAGATCTATACAGGCCCTCCGCGAGGTCGCTCGCGCTGGCCGCCTGTGCCGTCAGCACCGCCGCTCTCTGATCTTCGAGCTGGGGCTTTCGCGCGGCGAGCTGGCCAGAGCTGCCCCGACCATCACTGACCACGGCACCTAGTGGATCAATGCCAAGTACATGGCACCCTCTCTTTGAAGGCGCCGACTGGCGGGCTGGATCTCATCGCGGTCGATTTTTGGCAGCAACGCTGACTTGGCCCGCGACTCCAAACCCTGAGGCATCTTTCCATCTGTGCACGCTGACCCGCGCAGCCCGAAGCGTGAACCTGCCTGTCCTATATTTGCTGCAAGCCGCTCCGTCTAGCCTGCAAGACGTCCAGACCCGATTTCTCTTGCAGCAAGCGGACGATCGCGCACACTGTCTTTCGCCGTGCTCGCGCGGGAGCGGTGGCATGCATCGCCCAGTGCGTTGCGCGCTCTTTGGTTTCGGTTGGCCCTCCCTGGCTGGGGGCCCGTGCAGATGCAAAGGTGGTGGCCAGAACCCTGTGCCTGTGTCACCGTTCGTTCACTGTGGACTTAGAGTACCAGCTAGCCTCACCAAGTGTATTGCTGAAGGCCTCTCCCGACGAGAGAAGGATATCTTTGTTTGACATGATCGGGCGGAGCCTGGACTCCTTGCAGCCAGGCCAGTCATGGGCAGTCGGGCGAGGCGCCTGGACTCCTCGATATTCGAAGCAGCTGTTCGCCTGCAGCATCGACGTTCGAAAGTGCTTCCTGTATATTAGTCGTTCGACGCCCCGTCTGGCCACGGCTCGGGGAGAGAGCATGCGGCATATATCCGCTGTCCCAACCCCAATGTCGCAGCCAGGAGTCCGTGGCCGTGTGGGCTCCGCTTCTTTTTGCGGCGAAATGCGCCCGCCCGCGTCCACCCTCGCACCACTTGCAACCAGTCAACGGTGCTCGTCTAATACCTAATTAGCGCAGGGCGAGGCGCCAGGACTCCTCGATCTTCGAAGCAGCTGTTCGCCCGCAGCATCGACGTTCGAACGTGCTTTGTGAACCTTAGTATTTCGACGCCCCGTCTGGCCACGGCCCGGGGGGAGAAGACGCGGCATGATCATCACCAGCACCATCATCAACAGCCTCATCATTACCACCACTAGCATCACCATCATCAGTTTCATCACCATTGCCATATTCAGCTCAAGATTCTTCATCATCCGCAACGTCATGAGCATCGCCCTCGTCACCATTGTCGTCCTCGTCCTCTCCGCCGTCGTCGTCGTCATCTTGATCAAAACTCATCATCACCATCATCAGCATCCTCATCCTAGTCCTCGCCGTCGTCATCGTCATCACCACGATCACCAGCATCATCATCATGTTCACCATCATCCCCCTCAACATCACCATGGCCAGCAGCATCATCATCGCCACCTTCAGCACCATAATCATCATCGTTGCCGTCGTCGTCGTACTCGGTGTCGTCGTCATCGCCACCACCATCATCATCATCATCATCATCATCACCATCATCGTCCTCATCCTCGTCGTCGTAGTCGTCATCGCCACCGTCATTGTCATCATCACCACGATTAGCATCAGCAGCATCATCATCGGCATCATCGTCGTCATCATCAACGCCATCATCATCAAAATCTTCGTCTTCGTCGTACTCGCGTTCGTCGTCGTAATGGTCACCAGCATCATCATCATCATTATCATCATCATGCTCATCCTCGTCGTTGTCATCAGCATCGTAGTTGTCATCATCAGCATCATCGTCATCATCATCACCATCATGATCTTCGGTCGTCGCCATCATCATCCTCATCCCCG